AGTCCCTAAAGTTGTTTTTTTTTTTTTTTTTGATGTGGACCATTTTTAAAGTCTTTTATTGAATTTGTTACAGTATTGCTTCTGGGTTTTTTTATGTTTTGGTTTTCTGACCGTGAGGCATGTGGGATCTTAGCTCCCCCGACCAGGGATCGAACCCCTACCCCCTGCATTGGAAGGCGAACTCTTAACTACTGGGCCACTAGGGAAGTCCCAAGAAATCGATTCTTGATGAACCCAAGGGCCCCCTTTTTGGCAGACTTCACTCTTCTTTGGTCGCTGCTCTGCTCTCTCAGAGCACCTGGAATTCTCCCAGCTGTCACGGGACTTTTCTTTCCTTGTTGCTCAGAGGGTACCGCTGTCTCGGCCTAATCCCCTCTACCCTGCTGACTCACCATTGCATGTGCTTCACTTGCCCGCAGCCCTCGCTTCTAATACTTGCCCTGGAAGGTCTGGAAGGGTCAGACCCATTTAACAGATGTGAAAGCTGAGACCTGGGGCTGCTCAGCAACACGTCCTGTTTTTGCTGCTGGTTTTTGCGGGCCCCGCTCTGCTGTGAGGCAGGCCTGCTGGTGTCCCAAGCTGTACCTTGTTACCCTTCCTGGTGCGACACCCAGCAGCTGAGTCTCAGGCCTTATGGTGGCCTCTGAGTGGTTTGGGCCGGTGCCTCTGGATGGTCCTGCTTCCCGGGCTTCTGGGACCTTGCTCTTTTCTAGTCCTCTTGCTTTTGGTCCTCTTCACTGGACTCCTGTCCTGTATTGTCCCCCCTCTCTCTACACCGTGTCATTTGGGGTGATTTTTGTCTTCAGGAAGTGGGTGCTGCTCTTACTTACTAAGCTCTGCTACATTAAGCAAGACAGTGGCCAGTGACAGAAACTCAAAATCCACAACTGAAAGTCTAGAGAGGGCAGGATCTAGGCCGGCTGGATTGGGGCCTTGACCTCTGGCAAGGGAGTGCTGGCCTTTTCTCCTGGTGTAGCCTCCTTCTTGAGAGTCTGGCCACGGTGTTCTCTGACGTTTCCGGGACGTGCCCTTCGTGCTGCTGACACTGCCACAGGACCCGTCCTGGAAAGGCCCCGGGCTGGTCTGGCTTGGGTCCCGTGCTCATCCTGCAGCAAAGTGAGGTGCCAGGCCATGTGCCTACCCCTGGAGGGGCTGCAGCGCCTCAGTTTTCTGTTTGCCCATCAGAATCACATGGATAGAGGAGGGGCAGTTCTGAGAGGGCAGAACAGAAGTAACAGGACCCTAGCCCCAGCGTGGGCCCAGCAGTCCTGTGCGGTGGGGTCCAGGATTCTCCTCGCTTGACAGGTGAAGAAAGTGAGGCACGAGGTCCAGTTGTGTCTGGTTCCGCCTTCTCCTTGTGGGGACGCCTCCCACCTCTTCCATGTCTGCCTGCCTCCCAGACAGGCCTGAACTGTTTGCTCAGCTCAGTGGGGGCTTCTGACCACCTCCTGGCACCACCGCGGTCAAAAAGTGAAGTTACCGTCTTCCTGCTACGCTCCATCCCTGGTGCTGGCATGTGTTCTCAGCCTGCTGCACCCAGACTGTGAGCATCACAGCTAGCTCTGGTTCTTTTGTGACTTTTACTCCTGTCCCCAAGACCTGGAGGGGCTGCCCCTGAACGAACAGGCCCCCGCCCCTTTCCGGGCATATCTGGTCCTACTGCTCCTCAAGCGGCAAGAGTTGCTCCTTGGGGGCGAGCAGTTGTTCCACACCTGGCAGCTCCAGAGGACACCTGGGAGCTGGACAAGCCCCGAGTTCCTCTAAGACCCTGCCCTTCACCTCCTGAATCAGAGTCTTTGGGACCGGACCTTGAATTTAGTATTTTTGACAAGTTCCAGGGGTGATTCTTAGTCACCTCTCTTGGCATTTGGAGCCCACTGGCCCGTGGGGTGACATTCTGGGCCCCTGGGCTGTGCCCAGCCTGCATCTTCTATCCACTTCTCATCATCCCTGCCTGCCCTCTCAGTGGGGCTTATGCTTCCACACGCCCAGATGACTTTTGGGAAGGGGGGACACTCCTCGTGTTATTCCTCTTTACCTCTTCTCCCCAGTGTCTGTCTGCAGTTGCCCTTCAGTTTTTGTTTGAATGGCAAATGCCGCCTCCTCCTTGAAGCCTTCTCTGATTGCTCTGTCTTCTCCCCTGAAAAGATACTCTGTTTTGTAAGTAAGTATTTTAAATTCCCCAAGGGTATGCTCTCCTTGGTCGTCTGGAGAGGGAGGTCCCTTTTGCAAAATGGATCCTCCCTTATGGGATATCCAGCAGATGCATATCGTCTGCCGTTCCTTCCAGAACTGCAGAGAAAGCTGAGTGACGGTGAGGACCCTGACAGCATCAACTACTGTGGTTTTCAGATGGGGTTCCTCGGGGCCCGGGGTCCTGGGAGGTGTTGGGTGTGGAGGGGCGGGCAGCCGGGCACGTCCTGCAGTGTGACCTGGTCACCTCCTGCTGAGTCTTGCTGTCTTACGTGGTGGCCTCCTTGTGGGTTTCCACTCTGTGCCCCGGTGCTCGGAAGGTGCTGGGAAATGCTTGTTGGGAGGGTTGGCGGGTGTCAGCCCTGCTGTGCCGTGTGAGGTGCCACGCCTGCTCACCATGGCCTGGGGTTCCCCTGGGGCTTTGTGTCGTCTCCTCCCTTAGGCTGTGAGGCTATCAAACCATGGCTGTTTCATCTGTATTGTCTCCCAAGGGCCAAGCCAGGCACAGGAACCGAGCTGCGGCTCCTGTATCTATGTTCAGGGGCGTCTGGATGCCAGGTGGGCGCACAGCAAACTTGCCCCAGACCCTGCTCCAAGGAGGGAGTGAGGGCGAGAGAGCCCCAGGCCTTGACCTCGCCTGATCACAGCCTCCTCTGAGTGTCTGTGGGGTATCAGCCTCTGTTCTCAGGAAAGCGCGCACGGCCCGGGCTGTTGGAGTGCTGTCTGCGGTCCACACGCGCTCCGCCCCCAGGGGACAGCCGGTCGGCGCTCCGGAACCATGGGCTGGGAAGCGGTGCCCCAAGTTGATCTGGCGTGTGCGGGCCAGGAGAGGACATCGTGAGTCCAGGAAGGCTTCCCGGGAGGGTGTCTGTTGGAGCCGAATCCTGAAGGCTGGGATGGAGGGTGGAAACCGAGGCTTGGAGATGCCACGCAGCCCTGTGTGTCC